GAGGACCCGAGCTCAGAGGATGAAAGAGACCACCCATGGAGGGTGAGAGGGGAATTTTTTTATTTTTTTTATATATATATATATATACAGTATTCCATTATAAAAAGCCATTTATATATTGACAATAATTTGTCACTATATTTAAATGATTTTGAATTTTTGTTCTGTTCTGTTTTCACACCTGATAGTCTGGTAGACTCACTTTGAGAGACCAATATTGCAACATTTGTTCTATTTTCAGCTGGTGCGGTTTGCTTTGTCACAGGACTGATCGAATGAACTAAAACCTTTGAAAAGCTTGTTCCCCTCCTTGCCTGCGGTGGCGCTGCGCCAAGAACTGCTGAAAGAAACGTCATGAAAACCTCTGAAGAAGACAGTGGGCACAACTTCCTTCTTCACGAAATCTAAGCAGGAACATAGTAGAATCTGATTTTTCGACACCTCTCCAAACGAACCAAATTTCCAGAAATCAAAACTAAAGTTTGATTAAAGCAAAACTAAACAGAACTGGTGTGAATTCTGACATAAATCAAAAATTATTTCATGAACCCAAGTATTCAAAGCACATTTCAAGGAAGCCTGGGCGGAAGCAGGGCGACGGTTTACAGTTTCGCTTCCCTAATAACTCTTCAAGTCCCCTGTGACAAGCGACACACTCTAGTAATGATGTAAAAAAAGGTTTCTACAAATACTCTGACCTTCATTTGTACTCAGAAAATACTTAAGGTTAATAGCTTGTACCTGTTTATATTCTCCAATAATGGAACCGTTCTTCTTTATCTCCGACTCCGACTTATCAAGCTCCCTTCGGCACATTTCTTTCAGCTGGAGAGACAAAAAAAAACAAAACAAAACAAAAAAAAAACACACAAACAGACATGATTAGGTGGCTACAGATGACAAAAATACACAAGACAAACCGACTCAGAGGCCAAGGAGAGCGTATGATTACCAAAAAATATAAATAAAATGCAGAAAAGTACTGACATAGTGTAGGATGGTGACAACACTCGGCCCTAAACACAACCTTCACTGTGATACATAAATCACTGAGCGTTACACCTGCAGACTCAACAAGGCACAAGACGTTTGGAGGACAGGCACAGAGGGCTGCAGGTCGGACCGTTCCTCACTGAGCCAGAGAAAATATACATCAAACGGTGACAGCTTTCATATGAAGTGGTCGCCTGTGGTAGTAACTATGTGGAATTGACAACTTTTAAAGAAAACCGTGAAGATGGACACACAGAGAATGAACAATGATATAGAAATTTCAGATCTTGGGAAATTTTATTTATTTATTTTTTAATAATGAATGAGGCAAATGATTGAATACGCTCTGCAGGGATTAGACGAATAATATACACATAAAGGCTGGCATGGAAAAATGGACTGACAAATATAAAATGTAGTTTGAATTTAAAAGAAAACTGTAATGATTTGCATAACCGAGGTGAACAACCTCAGACTGACTGAAGGATAAACAGTTTGTTTTAAAAATCAACTGATGTTATTTATAGCGCTGATTACGACCCACTGAGTCTTGACTCTCTCAATAATTTATTCATAAATAACATTTCCCACCATCCACCTTCTAATTTTGACGTTGGGAGATAATGCCAAAAGATTTAGTTGTGTTTGTTTTCTATGATCTAACAAGATTAAAAGGAGAAAAAAAAAGTTTTTACACTTCCAGTTTATCTTCCTTTGCTCCCTATTAAATCCAGAATAGAATATAAATGTATTGTTCTTGCATAAAAAAAAACTCTGACTCAAAAGGCGCCATCTTATTTTAAGACCTTGCCCCCACTGACTGACCATTTTTTAGTCTTAACTGGGAATTTTGTTGCGGTTAGTTTTACATATTCTCTGTTTTCCCCCCCATAGAAAGCAACCCTGGCTCAGCATTTTCTGTGTTATTTTATTAGGTTTGAGAACCAAACGCATCTAAAAGTATCAGCACGCCGGCCCTCGAGAGCTGAAGTTTTGACATCACACAAAGTATTCCTGGTTCAGTCGTTCTCGAGTCACAAAACGCAATGAAGATGTTTGAGTGCGACTCAAACTTTTGCCTGACGGGAACATGCAAAAAAACACAAATACATGAAATGTAGAAGATTAAAATAGTCCGGTTTAGACCAAATTTAAGACATATTAAAGGCCAACTTACTTGTCAAAGTTAATTTACGACATTTTAAGGCTGGAATTTCAGACACAGGACCTTAAGACTTTTTAAGTACTCTAAGTTTTAAACTTAATGTTATAATTTGGAAAAAATGGCACTAACTTTTTATGAATGTATTGTATTGAATTGACTAGATTTATTTTTATAACTCGATAGCAATCAGATCAATGTCTCCAGTAGTCATTGGTCAAGAGGCAGACCATAACACTGAACAATAATGCACACACACACACACACCTGTACTTAAGGACAATTTAGAGACTGTTACAAACTTGTAATAAATAAATAAACAAACCCAATTAACCTGCCTTAATTCCCTCATCAGAGAAATGGCATTACGTGTGCATAAAGCACTGAAATACTTCAAGCGTCATTTAAACTCTTCACAGGTTTTCTCAAACAAAAGCTCAAGGAAGAAAAGGCCTTGCGGTTTTGCTCTCACCTGTGCAGACTCTTCCTCCAGCCGTCTCTTCTCATCTTCAGATTCAATCAGCTTCTGTTTGGTCAGCAGCAACTCTTTATTCAGGGCATCTGCCTTTTCTTCAGCCTGACGCAAACATGAGCATACAAGACGAGACAAAAAGAGACCACCAGGTTGAAAAGATCGGTTGAAAGTTTGGCTTGTCCTACTTTCCTTTTTGCCTGCTCTATTTTTAAAGGTAGGTCAACAAAAACCCTGTGCATAAATCTGTGCAGGTTCCAAGACAAGAAATAACAGCAACACTTGTGCTGTGACTCTGCCACAAATTTATTACCTCTGCTAAATGGAACGCATCCCATCACACACATTTTTCTGCTGGCTTACATTGTCCAGATCTTTCCGAAGAGCTATCTTGCTGCTCACTAGTTCATGTGCCAAGTCGTCGTTCTCCTGCTCCAAACGCATGTTGGCCTCTTGCAAACGCCGATTCTCCCGCTGGACACAGGAAGAGAGGGAGAAAAGAGAACAAGAGCAAAAAAGAAAGAAAGAAAAAAAAGAAGTGAGTATGAGAGGAAAAAAAAGATAAATGATAAAAACACCGAGGAGTAGAAAAGTGAAACAGAAGAGAAGAGACAGAGAAGGGAAGAGCCATTAGAAAAAAAGAGGAAGAAAAAGTCAAGAGACAGCAGAACAGGGAAAACAAGTTAATCATAAAGAGTGTCATATGAATGTGTAATCTGCTGCTTTTTTTTTAGAGAACTATAAAGTTTACTGAGGTTAAAATACAGTGAAAGAGAACACTGCACTGTTTAAAACATAACTTGTTTGTGGTTCATTAACAACCGACTGAAAACTGAAGGCTGACATGAAGCTAGCACGAAGATGCAACTGAGAGGGAAAACTAAAAAACTTAAAAAGAGCAAGAGATTTATGTTTTAGCTGATTCTTTCTCCCTCAGTTAATTATTTTGGGATTGCAGCCCATACTTACCACTGCTTTGTTTCTCTGCTTTACACTGCAATTTTTATTTTGTAGGGCAAATGTTTTGATATTACAGGAGACAACATTGACAGTTTATTCCTGGATAAGTGGTTCATGCCTTCTGTGTGCATTTCTACCTCATATCTCTCAATGGGGGCTTCTTGTTGCTCCTGCTGCTCCCGTATGGTGTGGTACTCCTTCTCAAATTTCTTCAGCTTCTTCTGACTTATCTATTTTTTTTTAAAAGCAAAATGAGACAGAAAAACAAATGCTTAGCAACTGAACACATTGAAGAAGAAAACAATATTCATTCACCAGCTGACTTGATGGGAATGAGGAGGCCTAAATCAGACAGTTTTTGAATTTTAAGTCGGCAGTCGGGTGTTCGCAAACTCAAAAACCTGATCATATCAGCGAATGTGTCATAAATGGCTGTCATGTCGACCTAACAGCACTTCTATCCTTCAGAGAGGAAAGATAGAAGTCAAAGACACTTTCAGTGTCTGTAGGTACTTAAAGGACAGGTAAAAGCAAGAACTCAAATGTTCTGGGACATAAACGTTTTTTCTATTTACGTTGTTTCATCATTTTTTATGTTTGCGCTACATGCCTCCTTTAATTAATTGAATTTTACACTAATTTTTAAAAATTAAAAGCCAACCTTAGGTTCAGGCATCGGTAGACACTATAATACAATTCACTTTCAATCTCAAGTTTAAAGTATGTAAAAACATTTTTACAAAATAGATATTTCAGTGTATCAAGCTTTATTATTATTAACAAACATGAGGAATGTGGTGGATGTTTCCTACTGAGGTGTTTGAGGACAGACCATTGAGAAAACGGTGCGATAAATACTAAAACATAATTTAATGAAGCCTCGAGGAATTTTAATAATCAAAATCCTTGAATCATTCAGTGACTCGTTACAGTCCTAGTTTAGTTACAGTGATGGTGCACAGGCAAAGATCCCTGTTAATTATTTTCATAAACCTGCCAACAGACGCAGTCTCCCTGAACTTAACAGAAACTAAAAAACACAAAAAAGCTATACACGTAAATATTCAGCACAAGTTAGACGCAGCAAAGCCTTAGCCCATGATGTCAAGGAAAAGTTAACTGGGGCTTAAACTTTGAAACAATTGAAGCAAGACTGAAAATGTGGAATGTTATTTATAGGAAAGTGCTCCAATAGCACCTGAGGTTACTGTTAAACAGCAGCGTGTGCTGATAATGAGATCTCAGAAGACAAGCAAAAGCTGAATCAACAGAAAGACTGCGGAAACAAAGGAACGTGGTGCTGCAGAAGGAGGGTGAAAAGGTTCATACCTAGGGCTGTTGTTGTTTTTTCAGGCGGCATTGTTTTATTTGGGTCGGTAAAACATGTGAAACAATAGTTTTGTGCAAGATTAAAGCAGAAAATCTGATCAGGGTTTTCGTCACTTTCTCTAATTAGCTTAAAACAACATTGCATTACATACACAGTGTAGCTTGAAGCTGATGTAATTTACTATGTTCATATGAATAAACATCCCTTGTTACCTTGCAGTTTATCACAGGTTTTGTGCAATCTACAGTATTTTTTATTTTTTATTTTTTGAGGGGGTTGAAGAGTTCATCTTTTCTTTACTGTGTTTTCTGTTTCCAGTGACATTCAGTGACTTATCAAAAATCAGACTTGGAAGCACCTGTTCATTAAAAGTGTTTTTGTTGAATGACCCACTGCCTGTTGTCCCTGCTTAGAACACATCAAATATTTCTTTTTTTTTTTATTTATTTATTTAATAATACCGATCAGAACTAATCTGCATATCTACAGAGAGATACATATTTACAGCTATCTTCTGGGCAATTTGCATACTGCAGATTTACAGACGTAAAGGCCACCAGGCATGAGGAACATGTCTCTCGGAAGGAATCCCAAGAGACAATAAAAACTGAAATGAAACTCATTTTCACTTTCCTTTTTGCTTTACTAGTTATGCTTTATAAATGCATTTGTCCTGAAAAATATGCAAGTGACCACGTTCCGACTGAAATAAATAACTACCACCGTTCAACCCAGTTCTCATTCTAATTTACACTTGGGTCTATATGCAAATTTAATTTCATTTGCTCACCAAAATATATTAAGGATTGTTCTTTTTATAAATTATTGGAGGTTCATTTTTGTTCCTGACTTTCAGTTTGATTTCAAGGGGAATTCCTGCATCTCCACTTCCTACTTAAAGCATTAAAAATAATTATTTCAACATCGCTTCTACACAAAATTGTTTTTGCAGAGTAAATAATGTCGCAGTTCATTACTGGAAATATAACAAGAGAGCAATTCATTCCTATTTAAATCCAATTCCTCCACAAATGTCCACATTTTCTGGCCTGCATGCTAATCATGTGGATGACTTATTTAGGTAAAAACCTTGTCGAGGACAAGGTCGGAGCTCCTTAATACTGTTTTTGTTCAAGCAGAATTACTAACATCTCGATTCTCAGTTTAAAACTTAAAGTGAGGAAGGAGTCAAAAAGTCACTTTCTGCAAGAAATTACAGTTTAGAATACCAAATATTACCATATACCTGCATATATTAATGATTTATTCACAGATTTATTGACCTGTTTTATTCAATTCAAAACAATTCCAATTTGTTTTTTCATAGTAACACTTTTATTTTGTTTTTTTAGCTCCCAAAATGACTTAAGGCTTGGAATGGTGTGAAGCTGATATCATTTATTAAGCCTGTTTTCAAAACCTGCATCTATATAAAGAGGTGTTAAATCTTCCAAAACTTAGATTTCTCAAAAGGTCGACAGCACCTTCGGTAGTTCAAAATTTTCATGTAGTTCTTGTCCAATTGGTCATTTGGAAGAATGAAACTGAAGAAAAATTAAAAAAATGTGAACAATTATGATCTATCTAACTATAAAAACATGTCATGGCATCTGACAAACACCAAGAAGTGATTCAGTCAGAAGGCATAAACATTCAGTAAGGTAAACAATAATCCATCCATTTAATCCCACTGCAGTTCTCAGATTACCAAACCACAATCGAGGACAAAGGTGAATGTATCCAACAACTTGACACGCTGTGCAAATAACTACAACAGTGTGTTTATTACAAATGACAATTTACATGAACCAAACCAATAACATCTAATTTGGAAACAACAGAATTTGTAAATATTTGATTTTATCAAGCGTTTCTTCCCATATCAGAGTCTCCTTGAGCTCATTTTTGATTTATTCTCAGAATCGATGCCTTCATGATGGATACTGGAGCATCTTCAGAGCTGCACAGCTGCTTTGGCCAGATATGATTTACTTCCTCTGCTGGAAGAGCTTTGGAGCGTGGCTCCTCTGCTGCCCACCTGCCCATCTCAAGAGCAGAAAGTTAAAATCTTTCTTGGAGTTGGCTTCCTTACAGAGTTTGTGGAAAGAAATGTTCCTGTCCAAAGTTACCTTCAAAGTCAGATCCTCTAAACTGGGCCAGACTGCTCAAAATCAGGTCAGGAAACAGGTGTGAGTGTTTAAGGGGAGGGCCGTGTGTTTGGTGTGTTTCTTGCTTTTATGTTAGTAATGACGAAGCTCAACAGTGACCCCCTGTGGTATTGGAGCAGCATTGCTGGATTTCACAGGGTTTTGTACAATAACACGAAGGTTAAAAAACAAAATAAGATTACAGATAGCACTTTGAATTATCTATACTCGATCTGCACCGTAAGCCACGTTGGTCATTTAAACTCACCTTCATGCTACAAGCCAGCTCCATCAGTTTCTTGGCATTTTCTTCGGAGCGGTACCTTTTCGGGACGGGGACGCGAAAGAATTTGAGCGCGCCCTCGAAGTCTGTCTGCAGTAGATCGTCTTTTGAAGTCTGAGGAAAAAGACGAGATGTTTAATGAAACAGAGACTTAAAATACCTAATTAAAAATGCGACTACACTTTTTTGTGCGATGGGAAGAAGAGGAAATTCAACTTTGGAGGCAAATCTTTAACAATAAGTATGTTCACTCCATCCACCAGAACACAAAATAATGACTTTTCCCTAAAGCTTGGCTATTCTGTTCTAACTTTTTTGTTTATGCTTGCATGCCTTACTAGTGATGGGAGTTTTTGTTTGTCAATTCTTACCTTCAAAAGGGCCAGGGCTACATTGAAGATCACACTAATACCCTGAAAATAAAAATCCAAGGTTTAGTTGGTCTGAAAGAGTTTATGAAATTATTCATTTGATTAAAAGTGCAGAACAAGAACAAAATGTTTTCTTTGATTTAAAAATGTGTTGGGAACAACTGCTTTGGTATTGAATTTTTGGAAATGTAAAAAAAAAAAAAATCCTTCTAATTCACCCCACTGTATAGGACCTTAAATGGAGCTGCATTCATCAAAGATTTCCTAGTTCTAAAGCATCACACCATCATCAAATTATACCTGTAATAAGCTTTTGATTTCACAAACCACTAATGAAACAATGCATCTGGGATCAAATTCACAGTAACAAACTGCCACACCAAAAATTCACTTCAATTTTATATAACACCCCCCTACCCCCCCCCAAAAAAAACAAAAAGAAATTCAATTAGATTACAGTAATCTCTTCTTATAGCTGATGACTAGCTTTTTGCATGTTTCTCCATTTTGACAATTTATGTTTGAGATGGTATGAATGATTTTGAGCTTAATGTAAGAAGACACATGAACTGCACTTAACACGTTTTTTTTCTAGCCTTCTTCCCTGAAATGTCACTTGATCAAAGTTATACGAGTCGCAGAAAAGACGTCATGTCAGGCATGACAGGGCCAGTGACTGTGAAACATAGCTTTACTACATTTAAAAAAATACAAAAATATATTTTTTAAAACTTTCATTTTGCATCTTGTAAAAACAGCTTACTGATAATTAAAGTAGCAAACTGTCACACCAGAAAGTGTTGCTGTCAGTGTGACCTTATTGTCTATTCACTGATTGGAAAACAGATCAGATGTTTGCATGTGTGTCTAGCTGATCCCTGGAGGCTTTTAAGACTTTTTTATGCCGACTATAAATGAGAAAGTGTCATCGCTGTTAAGAAAATCAATGAAATCTGGCCTATGGCTGCAGTTTTTCTGTTTCTAGCTAAAATAATCCTGCAAGACCAATGCAGTTTCTCCTAACATCTCTGGACTGTTATCACTATGGAGTTTCTTTTGATACCCACCTCACACAGTAGCAGGTCGATTATATGGAAGACCATGTAAAGAGGAAACTTGGCTGTGAAGAGAGTTAGGAACCACTGGGAAGCGTACATATGAGCCTCCAGACCCACATTCAGGAAATGGTTGTACAGATCCGGTATGTACTCCTGATGAACACCAAAGAAAACAGAAACAGACAGACAGAAGAGAGGAACAGCATTAAACAGAGGATGGGGATGACAGCAATAAAAAAAAGAAAAAGAAAACAAAAACACAGCTCAAGGGAGTGAATGCCATCAAAAACAGTCACAAGATTGTGGGAAACACAGCCCGAGATATGCAAATGTGACGCACAAACCTGCATGAGTCTTTCAAGCTGGAAGAACTTGCAGTGCAGATCTTCAAAGTTCTGTTTGAACAGGTCCCTGAGCCCGTAATCAAACATGATCTTCACCAGAACACTGAAAGCTTGCTCCTCTGGCATCTACAGAAAACACAAGATCCAGTCATGAGTGTCTAATACCTTTGAATTCTCAAAGTCCCAAATGAAACATTTCACTGTGAATTAACGGTTTCTGCAGTCGTAAGGCTTTAAGTATTGAACCTCCAAAAACTACAGACCAAGGTTCCAACATATTTTCCAACTTTTCCAAACTCCGCTATGCACGGTTCTCAAAGATAGATCTTCATCTTAAAATAAGTTGCTGACTGTATTTATGGTACATATTTATACAGTGGTGAAGATTTTATATGGAACCTGCAGAAACAAAAAAACTAGAAGGGAAAAAGAATACAAGGGCAGAAGGTAGGTAGGACACAAGTAAGGGAAGAAAGGAAGGACACAGAAAAACCGATGGAAGGAAGGAGGACACAAAGGAAATACACAAGGACATAGAGGGTAGGGAAGGTAACAAGGAAGAAAAGAAGGAAATAAGGAATTACTGCAGGAGGTAAACAAGTATGGATAGACAGGGGTTGGACACAAATATGGAAGGAATGAGGACAAGTGGAAGGTAAGAGAGGACATTTACTTAATAATATAGGGAATAAAGTAAAAAATATATAAAATTTCAAATAATATATTTTCATTTTCCATACTTTTTAAGACCTTGAAAATACTAAAATAAAATTTCCAAACTGTAAATATGTGATGTATGAACGGACAAATGCAACATTTATTAAATAAGTAGTAAAGTCTGAAATTTTTTCCTCCCCTCGTAACTTTTAATCCAATCCTGGAAAACACTGCCACAAGGTGGCAGTGCTGTCCTGTTTCTGCACTCCACTAAAAATAGGCTGCGAACCACAATGAGTAGGCAGAAAACTCTGAATATCACTCAAAAATTTGAGCAAATAAAAATATTGTTAAAAATTAGATCTAACTTCTGTAAATTCAGTGTCAAAAGTACGGAAGTTGTTGCTTGGCGATGTCTGGTGTTTCTCCGGATTGTGCTGCTTGTGTCAACTCACGTGCAACAGCAGCACTGCAGCCAGGAAGGATTGTCCCTGGCAGTAGCCAATCTCCTGATCATAAACAGAATAAGCCTGGACATCATGAAAGACAAAGACATATAGTAAGTAAAGGCTTTTCAAAGTGAAATAAAAACAACTTCACAAGTTGAAAGTAAAAAAATAAATAAAAGTAAATCATTTTTACAAGTCTATTTGTATCAGATCCGTCTTTGGAGAAGCAAGACTGTAAAGAAAAACTGGAACTTACTGCAAGTTATACTAAACATGTCCAAATTGTTCGTTACAGAAACTCTTTAAATTAAACACAAAAATAATGATTTCAAAAGCTACAATGTCAGCAAAATCAAATTCTTAAAATAACAAATAATGCCAATTAACATTCAAAATACAAAACTCAACCTTGTTATTTAATGACAGTGAAGTCAAGTGATAAGGCATGGATGAATCATGAAGTCTGGATACAGTTAAATAGACTCACAGAAGATGCTCAGGAGAAATATTAATATTTATTCAAGCTGAGAATGAGATACGAGAGAATTGGGGGGAGGGGAGGGGTGATGGGTCTGTAGTGGCCTACTGAACCAGAAACACAAATAATGAGTCAAAAATATAAAATGTGAATCAATCCAAACACAGCAAAGGCAGAAACCTGTGAATTATTCAAATGCACCTCAGGAGCTGCTTGTCTGAGAGTAGATGAATGCCCTCACTAGAGCTATGCATAATGAATGACATTAAACTGAAAAGTGTAAAAAGGCTGCAGTGCTACATTACTACAGCGCTGCTGTGAACTAGCATTTGCTCCCTTACAGATGTCTTTGGTTTTCTTGTCATGCTTAATTGTTTCAGATCACTGAACAGACCGCATGTCTTCACCATGAAGCACATTTTTATGCTAAAGGCGTAACTGACGATGGCGTTAACTGATAAGAATAACTAAAATACGGCGACGCTGTCAAGTTGCAAGATGTTCATGTGCTCCTCCGCAGAGGCTAACTGTACTTTGATTCCTGTTTTGTGTGTTCAAAGAGAAGCTCGTTTAGATTTCCCAGACTTCATGAACTCGACGAACCGCCCAGTCCGAATCAGACAGAAGTAATTAATACACAGGGCATTAGCAATTCTCACTACTGATCTGTTTTCATTTCCACTTTAGCTGTAAGCACAATTTTCACTTTAAGAAAATGTTATGGTTTGGTCTTTTTTTTTTTCCATTATTTACTCTTTGAAATTTGAATATGGATTCTACATATTTTATTGCCAATTTCTTTTAAAGAGGTCATCTGTAGGAGCAACATATTGTTGGTGATGAAGTTTAGAAAACAATCTCACAAATACATTTTGTTAGTGTTGTTTTTTTTTTTTATCCTTGTCATTATCATATCATCGGTCCAGACACATGAAAAGGTCCATAGTAGAGATAAAACAAACACATACAAAGGATTGGAGATATTTGGATTATATGAGTTTGGGATAAATAAAGAGTTTTTGAATTGAACTGAATTCAATTTCTGAACATGAATTTTTTTCACCAACTTCAAAAATGTAATCAAGCTACAACGGTTAAAAATATATTTAACATTTCAGTGTGAGATTATAAATATTTTCAGGCTTTTAATGCATATTTAACGGCAAATACACGTGGTTGGTGTGGCATTCATGTGCATTCGCCGAGTTCGAAGAGAAACTCGCCCCTACGTCTGCACTGTGTTTGAAATATAGAATAAAAGGGTCTCATTCTTTACCTGAAAAGTGCAAAATACTTCTGATCGCATCAGCATCTTCCTTAGATAACGCCTCCCATAATTAGGAAGAGACTGGCACATCTGATTTTTTATTTTTTTAGTGCAACTGCAGTTAGAATGAGTCAAAACGGAGAAGCACTAGCTTCCGATGTTTTTTTTTTGCAGATGTATTAATAAACAGTTTACACCTCATTTGGCGTGCAGCTGCTGCAGCAGCTTTGTTCACTGCATGAAGCCAGTTTTATGACAGAGCACAGTTCGTGCTGCACTAACAACCTCTGTGTGTGTGTGTCTGTGTGTTCTGGAGCCCCACCTTGCAGATCTTATAGAGCGAGTCTTGCCCGTCTCCTCCAGTGTCTTTGAAATAGTCATGAGCGGGGAATGTCCTGTTAATGTCTCTGGTGATTGCACTGTCCTGAGGAGATTCCTACCAGAGAGAGAGAGAGAAAGAGAAAAAAGAGAAATGTTACAATGTAAAAGGGAGTTGGAAAGAATGTAGCAAAGACAACAACAAAAAAAGAAGAGACGATTACAGAGATTATTATTTATTATCAGCTACATTTGTGAAACCGTCTTCCCGGACACAGCTGTTGTAAGTGATCTTCAACATGCAGGGGCCCCACGCATTGTCAAGAAACGTGGAGTTAGGAGGAAAAACTGGCAGCACAGAGTGTTCTCTTCCACCGTACAGACCGTCCACCGCTCCATGTTTCTTTGCAAGCCTGCTCATCCCACTTCTAATTTTATTCAGCTTTATTGCATCAAAAATAATTTTTATTGTTGCAAAGGTGGAGACACAATCCACCGGATGCAAGACTGGAAAAAAACTCGGACGTTCTCACCACTTAACGGCGACGAGGGTTTTTGTAAAGTGTTGCTAAATCGGCACGTTATCAACAACAAACCACAAAGCTGACTTACTTCATGTCACTATGACTCCGCTTCAAATGAAATCTCTGATAGTGATTAAAAGGCCTTCTGATAACTAAGACAGACTGAAGTATAATTTCCTGACTGATACGGAACTGATTTGTTTTTAAACTCCAGACTTGCAACACTGACGACCTCAGCTGCAATAATAGCTGATGTGGTAAGACGTGAATATAACTTGATAGTTCTCCCTTCCAATTTGGCAGCATGATTCATTGAGGAATAAACTGTGTTTTGCTGTGTTGTTTTTAAAGAAGTGAGATCTGATTTAGGCATTATGGAGGAACTGAAATCGGGTTTCAAATGAGTGGAGAACACTAGATTTTGAGCTAAATGTATTTGACACCCCCTTTTAACAACATTTTGAACTAATACATTTTTTTTAAAACTTTTTTTCTGCAACACACCAAATGTAACTTTAAAGCAAATAATCTGATAGATCTTGAGCAGTTTAGTACAATACAATCAATAAAGTAATAATCAAGTAACCTTGATTGCTAAAAAAAATAAATAAATAAATAAATGAAGGGAGGAAACTGATGCTGGCAGAATTTTTCAACACCACGATACACTAACAAAACGACAGATTTCATCTGGAGCCAGTCTGAACACAAGCCTGGGGAAACCTGTGCCTCATATCTATTTGAAGTGATGAAAGACCACCACAGGGTAAGAACCCCACTCAAATCAGTAAACAGTCCTTAAGAACGGTGCTTGCTTTTCAAAGATTAATGATGCCTCATTTCGTTATCGATTACCAACACATTAGGAAAAAATTACATTTGAATAAGTAATGTTAGCAAGAGACAATTTCATTAGGAAATAATGTTTAAAGAACTCTTTGAGCATAATTTGAAATGAGATTTAAAATATATATATATGTAGTTAGCTGTTTATGGAGTGTAGTTTTGTTATTTAGAGGTTAATTCAATGGCAAGCTTTGAGAGAAAAAAGTTGCTAGTGATGGCACAATTTTCAGTTTAACCAGTTTTGACTGATGATGAGGTTGGAAAATTTAGAACCGTATCTTTTTCTCATCAGTGAGGACATCATACCCGCCTAACTACTGTTGTGGGAAAATAATTATGAAGCACTGCTAAGGTTAAAAAAAAAAAACACTGAGTCAGGTTTATTAATATCCTGCACAGAAAATGAGAGTTTGGGAATATTACACCTGCTGAACAGGTCAAAGTGTGAAGCTCCAACAGGAGGCAGGCAGCTCATCAGTTCAATAGGAAGAGTTAAAGTGGGGGGGGGAATCACAAACACTGAAGAGAGTGTGAGACTGTCTGGATCATTCCTCTACTGAAGGTTATTTCACCAGGGAAAAAATCTGCCTCAGACAAATTCCCTCTGGGAATGTTTATAGACATAAAAGAAAAAATAACATAACCATCGGATGAAAAAATATGCCTCAACATTACTGAAGCCTTTAGGATATTTTGTCAAACTAGTGAAGGGGCGAATTGGCCCAGTGCAGACTTCAACACATACCAACAACTCTGACTGGGAAATTATTACTGTTCATCATTATTGTGAGATTTTTTATTTTTTATTTCGTCATGACCATCAGGACTTGTTGTGACGATAAAATCTAGAAGACAAAGCATTTTTTTTTCCACAGCTGATTCCATGTGCAGAAATAACAGACTTGAATTTACTTAACTTTTATTGGTACTGACTTTATCTATTTTATTGTTGTGTTATTGTGTTTTGAATTGATTTTATTAATAGATTATTATCTGCTTACCATTGTCACTTTACTTTTATGCTTTAGCTTACAGCAGTTCTATTATATTAAGTTGTATTTATATTTTTAAATGTTCTAAAGTATTTTTGAAAGCAGGTGTTTGAGGGCTTCATAAATGAAGTTGATGATGAAAAAATTATTTTTAAATTTATGATTAATTGCAGTTATTGTGAGCTCATTAGCAATAACAGTGGGATATTTGAAGTGATGAGTGTTCTGAAGTGTGCTCTATTTTCTCTTTTAAAACTTAATATAATAGAGTGGTAAAACGAGCAACTTAGGATTTGGGCCAAGGGGCAAAAAAAAAAAAAAAAAAAAAAAAAACTAAAACAAATCTTAGGACTTGATACTACAAACCTGATTGGCAAAAGGAATCTTGAAAGATCCTGATATCTCTCTTTCCAGAGGAATTTAAATAAATGGTTCAGTGTGAGGGGCATATTAAACTTGACTGCCGTTTCCTAGTAAAAGATAACAATCCATGTTTAGACAAGCAGCCACTTAGCCATACTTATCTGAAGTGCTGAGAGAATGAACAAAGACCTCTGACTTAATGGTCAATTAGCTTCCCCTCTGTCCGTCTGTTGCTCTTCTGTTGGAGAGCAACTTCTAATGACTGTTGCGTGAGAGGCGAAGAGCAAACATATCCAGAGTGTCATGCTACTGTGCAGAAGCTAGAGACGGCACAAAAATAGGTGTGCATTCAGCAAAAAAGGTAATTAGGATCATATTTTGGATCATATTACAGCAAACCTAATCCTCAAGCACTTAGTAATCACCACTGATTCTAGTTTTTCCTGTTATTTATTGAAGCAGAAACTGGAATCCGGGAAAGAAAATAAGTGTTTTAGAAAATCCTGCGTGGTTAATGCAGGAAAAGATTTGTTGTTAAGGCTGAAGAATTCTGCTTTGCATCTACAGAACATTGCCAACAGTCTCAGCATGTACGGATAATCTGCTTAATGTTTTATTTTTAGTTCTATAAATAGGGTAAATAAGATGCTGAGTTTGTAGCTTTGACAAGGACGTGATGAACAATATTAAAATTGGCGCTTTGATTTCAAGACATTTCGCGGTGCCTGGTCAGAACTACCAGCCCGTATTCTAACACACTCCTATAATTAAACGAGAGCGAGGGAGTCGGACCATTTGGAATAACAGTACTAAGGAGTTGCTTAGTAGATGAAAAAGCACTAAAGTTTAATGAACTCAGCCCTGAAAACCTACCGCACATCCAGAAAAAAAATAAATAAATAAATAAAAAATCCAGTCAGTTCCTGCAGATGCAGAATTCTCTGGATGTAAATGGGCAATTAGATCCCATTGAGCTGTGTGCGTAAAAAGATGAATAAAACTTACCTGCTTATAACCAAGTAGAGATATAAAGCTTTGACTAAAATGTAAATTTAACAGGATTCAAATGTTGACGTCCTATTTTTAAATTTAGATTACAAAGAAGTACATAAGTGAGAATTACAATAAAAACCTGAGTTTCCAGATGTTTTTAATCGACTGCCTTGTTTTTTAAAGATCCAACACACCTTTTTCCTGTGAGTGTGTGAGACATATGTCTCTACCAGTTGCTTCATTAGGCACACTTAAATTTTGTTTTTCTCACTAATAACCTTATCTAAGTATAGAGCATTCTGAACTTAACAGCATAAAGCCTTAAAAGAGAAGACATTATCAGTGTGTTAGAGAGAGTGACAATTATATGAAAAATATTACTGCTACTAATATAGTAGGTAGATTGTAAAGGAGAATATATAACTGTGATACATTTGCACACAAAACAATCACAAAAATATCAATACTGTTATATATGCATTAGGCAGCAACACGCAACTTTACCTTTTTATTTTGACCAAGCAGTTTGAGACGTCTTTATCTCTTAATAATGTCAGCATATTTCTAAAATGCCAAATGGACTTAAAGGGAAACAAGCATTCAAGCTCTGCTAGCCAAAAGTCTATGCACGGGTGCTTAGATCGACTTTCAGCATTTTTGTTCTCCCGTCTCAAAAAGATCTCAGTGACTAAGCTGAAAAAGCTCATCGGTGATAATGATATTATGACAATGGAGAAGAAAAAGAAGAGCGAGGAAAACGTTTGGTATTGAGCTTGTAATATTGAAATTACATCCGTTCTAAATATTGTCCTAATGTTGTCATGATATTAGGACAATCCCACATCCCACAGGAGCGCTAATAGATTGAAAGGCTGTTGGAGTGCAGTGAGGAGTCATGCTTAAGACACCAGCTCGAGATGAGCTTTGTGAAATGGACATGTTTTTTTTCTGCAGGAAGTAGCCATTTGAAATTAATTACACTTTGAGCATAAAGGGATGAACGTGGTTCACGTAGTACCAACTCAGTACCATTTCAATGCCGGCGAATCAAAGTGGTTAAAGTCCATCAGGAAAACATTACAACAAGCAATAAAATAGATCCATGTTTTCACATTTTTATGCCAAATTCTGCACAAGCATCTGAATGTTGCAGAGGAAGTTGAAACTCACCGGCCACCATGGCTAATTTTCCCAATCGGTTACTGTCCCATCCGAACAAGTGTAGGTAATAAAGTGGCTGTTGGTTATATATCCAAATGTATATGCATTTATCCATGCATTGTTAAGTTGTACTTATCTTTTTAAATGTTCTAAAGTTCTTTGAACGTGACATTAAACAATAAAACAGGAACTGAAATTTACCAAGACAATAACCAGGGTGTATTAATCATTTCTTACTGGTGGTGAGCTTTTAAAACATTGTCCTTTTTATTTTATTTTCTGAGTACATTTACCATGCATAAAAATAGTTAGAAGAGTGATAGCTGTAATACAGGATAAGCAGCTGGTTTGATAGCAAGGAAGTACACCAATAAAAGCTAATCAACCCCCGTGGGTCAGATGCTGTTACAGAAAAGAGACCGACAAAAAAGGAAACAAGAAAACTCCCAAGCAAGTGAAGTCCTGGAACAAAACATGGTGTTCTAGCAAAATTACAACCTCTTCAACAGAAGTCAGCCAT